GGGGAGTGGAAGGGAATGGAATATCCTGGAAGAAAGCAGGGCTGGCTGGCATGGCAGTGTCAACATTGCAATGCAATGGGGTCCACTTGTTTACATCTACATTGCAGATGTGTTCTCCAATACTAAACTGGGGTGGTGGAGGCCATTCGCACTCATCAATTGCCATGGAATTTGTTTAGTTTATATTAACTACTGATTGGATCCTCTTTCGTAATGCAGAATTAAATGCAGACGCTTCTAACAGTGGCTAGAAATATGAGTCTGGACTCCTGGGGCCATATCATCAGATGTCTTAAGTTAAGAAATCTCTATTGGAAGTTAATGGCATTATACTGATACAGGCTGGCTCCTGGATTCTGTTTCTAGGTCAATTTGCTTTCTGACCTCTGGCAAGCCTTTCAGCAAATTAAAATGCACATGTAGTTTAAGTACTGCAATTTGCCTCAATCTACCTGGAAAGGACTGTATTTATTTTATAGGGGTCTTTTTTGAAGTTTAATTAACTAATGCTTTCAGAGTAATCCGAGACTTTCAGATGAACAATAAAAATGCTTTTCTTTTCGCTCCACAGTAGGTTCCCTTCTTTACTTTATGAATTTGTGAAGTAACATGTCTCCAGCACCCTGTCAGAAAATCTGTAATTTCTCAAAGAACCAATCGTCCACACATATATTTTTCAAAGCCTTCTGTTTCTAGAATTCAATTTTTTAAGAGAAAGATTTACTTTGGCTAGAAACTAGGCAGGAAATCAGCTGGTGCTAGCTCCTTGTAGGGTACTACAGTGACTCATTTCCACAGATCTCCTGTAGTCTGGAAACAGTGTATGATGCTGGGAAATGGGTAGATCACCTGCAGGCCCCCCCCCCCCGATTAATTTAACAAGGTCCTTCCCCACATTTCAGTTGGGTGGCAAAAGGGCTTGTGACCTCACCTACCTTTATTATTACTATTTCTGGCCTCACCTAACTCCAGCACTTCCCGTCTGCCAGATTTTCCTTGAGAGAATGCAGCCCTGGACAAGGGGATGGGGGATGGGGGATGGGGCGGAGATTGCTTTCCTCTGCTTTAGATACGCTGCTAAATGAAGTTGCAGAATTTGGAGATGAGAACCAACCACCCCATGCTTGGTGCTGGGAAACAGGGGGGGGGGGGGAAAGAGGTCAGTTGGGCAAGGAAGGGTCAACTGGGATCAAGATGACAGGCAGAAGAGGCAGGGAACCAGGTCCTGTTCAGAATATTGTGCTACCAGAAATCTGTGGCAGCTCTGCCACCCCCCTGCCCTTTCTAAAAAAGTAAAAAATTATTTGCTGCTGCGTTGGTGGTGGCAGCACTGTAGCTTCACCTCCTCCTCTCTGCCTTGCACTGTGAAAGAGCCCTAGTAGTCCTGTAGATCTAGGCATTCTGGACAAATGGCCAGTACGAGTGCCTGGAGGCAGTTGGAGGATGGATGGTGGCTAATGTACAATTCTGTATCCAGGGCAGATGTCTAGCAGCTCCACCTGGTATGCAGGCTGAGACCCTACATGCCCGCAGACTGTCTCGCCAGAGTGGTGCATGCTCTAGTTATCTCCCGCTTGGACTACTGCAATGTGCTCTATGTGGGGCTACCTTTGAAGCTGACCCGGAAACTGCAACTAATCCAGAATGCGGCAGCTAGACTGGTGACTGGGGGCGGCCGCTGAGACCACATAACACCTGTCTTGAAAGACCTACATTGGCTCCCAGTACATTTCCAAGCACAATTCAAAGTGTTGGTGTTGACCTTTAAAGCCCTAAACAGCCTCGGCCCAATATACCTGAAGGAGCATCTCCACCCCGTAATTCTGCCTGGATGCTGAGGTCCAGTGCCAAGGGCCTTCTGGTGGTTCCCTCACTGCGAGATGCAAAGCTACAGGGAACCAAGCAGAGGGCCTTCTCGGTAGTGGCACCTGCCCTGTGGAACACCCTCCCATCAGATGTCAGAGAGATAAACAACTACCTGACATTTAGAAAACATCTGAAGTTCAGGGAAGTTTTTAATGTGCGGCATTTTGATGTATTTTTAATCTTTGTTGGTAGCCACCCAGAGTGGTTGGGGAAACCCAGCCAGATGGGCGGGGTACAAATAAATTATTATTATTATTATTATTATTATTATTATTATTATTATTTCCCTCTCCTACTGTCCTATCTTGCTGCGGCAGGTAGAAAGGCTTTTGGAAATCAGATTTTTTTAAAAAATCTAAGTTTTAAAAACCTTTCCAGCAACTTGCAGTTGCTCTTTAGGCATTATCCTGGGGAACAGCTCTGGCTCTGTTGTAGAGCATGTGATTTTCATGCAGAAAGTCTTGGGTTCAGTCCCCGACATCTTCTTAGTAGGGATGGGAAAGAGACTCCTGTCTACAATCTTGGAGAGTCTCTGTCTGTCAGTGTAGACGATGGGGAGCTAGATGGACTCAATATGTGGAAGCGTCCAATGTTGTACCTTGGACCTCTTCAGGCCTTCCTCAGAGTGAGGCAAAATGAAGCAGGGTGGCGTTTACTCTTCCCAGCCTTTTTCTCCCTTCTCCACATCACAGCATCGAAAGAGATTTCAAAACAGTGCTAGTGTTACATGCCTCCTAACACTTCGCTGAAGAAAACAGGGCTATTTATTTCCTCACACCGTAATAAACGGTCTTGGTTCAAAAATTCACATAAGTCATTCTTCTTAAAAAAAAAAAATAATTCTCAATTTTTCCTTTTTCTCACCCTGCTAGAAAATGAGTGAACTTATTCATTGCATTGAGGTTGTACCCCATGTGTGGACATAGTTTCACTGGTGCAATATGACTTCCCCTTCCTCAGCTTTCTTCACATGCCCCCCGAATGTGCTCTGGAGGGTCCCTACACAGGGAAGAGAAGAAGAGGGAGAAGTTTCATTGTGCATCTGAGAGTCTGTTGTGGAAGCAGGAGGACAGCACTGGATGCAACCCTTTGTATTCTGCTCTTCATCACAAGGCCACAGGGCAGCTTATAACACAATACAAACTACACAATGCCAAAATAAATCTTTGTATAAGCAACACTTCACCCATTTCAAAATATCTCACATATCTGAAAGTAAACAACCTCTTGCTCCATCTAAAGGCCTGCTGGAACCTACTCAGAGTAGGAGCTTGCCAGATCAAAAGGTGTGTGGGGGGGAGTTCCCAAAAGGTGGGATGTCCCTACTAAGAAGGCCCTCTTCCAAGTCAACCATAATTCCACCACCAAAGGCACAAATAATAAGTCATCTTCTTTTCTTTTCTTTTCTTTTCTTTTCTTTAGTAGTAGCCACACAAGGAAGACACTAGTTCCACATCCATGTGGAATTTCTGCTCCCCACAAAGAGGCTGGTGAAGCTAGGGAGGCCATTTGCCCACAGCTCCAGACTGATGGTAGTCACTATGCCCAGCACTGCTGCTAATTTTGCTCAGCGTTCCTCTTTGTACTTTGTCCTTGCACTGGCCTGTTAAAATTGACAATTACATTTTCTTCCTTTAAGCATTTTTACTGCAATGTTCAAACACACATTGGTTGTGGTTGCCCTTATTGCAGAAAATCAGCAAATTGTATACATTCTGAGCCAGATTTTGTGGAAAGGCCATTAGGTATACGAACAACATTTTTAAAAAGTCATTCGCCAAATCTCCAAGAGAGACAAAAGACTGACAAAGCTGAAGCAGTAATTTACTAGGACTAGGTACCACAATATAGGAACTGTTTCTGCTATACTGAGACAGAAAGTATGGTGCAGTTTGGGGGCTAGGACACAGTTTTTTGAAATAATATGGAGTATATTTCAGGTATAAAGCTCTTCTGACAGGGAGAAGGAGTACAAGAGGCATCACTGTGTGAAAGAATGAGAGGAGCATTCTCTGTCTGAGGTTCGATATAGCATTTACTGTAACTTGCTCTACTGCTCAACTGTGTGGATGAGAATATTGCAGCAGCATACACAGGAAAGCAGAGCTCCATAATAAGAGATACCTTGAGAGTGTGGAGACACTTGCCAAAAAATAAAATAAAAATTGCTCTCAGCAATCAAATTCTAAACCTTCCTCAAAACCACTGTACCCAAACACCATTTTATCAGTTCTTGTACCCAGCAGAAATCAATGATACCTCAGTTCACAAGATGACGTCCCTTCCCTACTCTTGAACTGTTTCAGTGGGTCTCAAAACCCCACCACGGACTGTGGTTTCTCTTCAGAACATATAAATCTTTCACCTTTTTACCTAAGATTTAGATCCTAAGAGTTAAGGAGCATAGACTGGGAGCTCAAGCTGGGAGAACTTGCCAATTCTTTAAAAATAGACCTCAAGAGTTGCCATCTAACTGTATTCCAGTACAGTGGTACCTCGGGTTAAGAACTTAATTCATTCCGGAGGTCCGTTCTTAACCTGAAACTGTTCTTAACCTGAGGTACCACTTTAGCTAATGGGGCCTCCCACTGCCGCTGTGCGATTACTGTTCTCATCCTGAAGTTCTTAACCTGAGGTACTACTTCCGGGTTAGCGGAGTCTGTAACCTGAAGTGCCTGTAACCCGAAGCGTTTGTAACCCAAGGTACCACTGTATAGGAATTTTGTTTGCTTTCCAGAGGCAACTTTTGGGGGGTGTCTCTTACAGAGATACACTGCTTGATAGATGAACCACCAGGAAGTAACTCAGCACAACACCAAAGTGTGAGAAAAAATAAGCAGATAGATATCTCCATTTATATGCAAGCTTCTGGGGTTTGTCTGCTGTGGGGGGGCACAAGCACAAATGGGCAGGGCAACAGATGTGGGACTTACATCTGTATACATGCACAGTAGGATACATTTGAAACAGGTAAAAACCAGAGCTTTCTGCACCCTCACCGCACATCTCTCCATCCCTCATCCAGGCAAGCGAGTCATCATAACAGTTGAAGAATACATAGAATCAGAGAACTGTTGAGTTGGAAGGGAGCACAAGGGTCATCTAGTCCAACCCCCTGCAATGCAGGAATCCTTGGCTCAACACAGGGCTTGAATCCATGACCCTGAGATTAAGAGTCTCCTGCTCTACCAACTGAGCTATTCCAGCACTCCAGGCAGAAGCGCTCAAGAAGGCTGCACAGAGTGGGGTTGGTGAGGAGGCCTGAAGATGGAGGGCTTGGTCTGAGAAGAGCCTTGAGGGCCAGATTGGGTGGTCTGGAGGGGAACATTCAGCCCTTGGGACTGAGATCCTCCTCTCCTCACATGGCAAAAAGCTAGAAATCAGGAACAAGATTAATTCTCAGTGACTGGGGTCACTAGAGGCCTGAAGCAAATTTGGCCAGCAACTTCAACACTGGACTTGTATAGAGGAAGGGTTGTAATTTGTTCCTATGAGAAAAAGTGGTACCCTTTTGCAGGGAGCAAATCCAGATTGCGCATATGCACATATGTTCAATGCAAATGAGGACCAAACTAGGTACGATGTTAAATAACAGTGTAAATGTAATTAACATGCAAGTTTGTTTAAAAATAATAACGGTAGCTGTGAAAAACGGCTGAACAGCCGCAGAATTTAAGATTATTGAAGAGTTTAACCCTTTTCACCACCCCTGCAGCTGCTGTTTATTTTCCTTTGCATTCACACACTTAACATCATGTCTACTTTCACCGTGATGCCCTTGGAAATGTGAGGGGCTGTTATAGGATTCCTTGTGGACCCCAGAAAATGCAGAGAACAGATCAAGATAGGGTATGGTTTTACTAAAACAACTTTGGTATCAACAAGTACTTAGAGTGAGGCTGCCAGAATATTTCATAGATGTCTGACCTGGTCTCATTTGTCCACAGAGAGAAAGCGAGTCCTAAGTAAAGCCTGGGTTAGAGCTGCTCCAGGTTCTGGTATGTTAAAACCGCCAGAACAACATGGGTAGACTTCTGCACATTACTGTTGTGTGGGGTGCCATTGAGTGTGACACTGGTCATTGCTGCACATAATCATTACATTTGTAGGCAGATTTCAATGTCTGAATAAAGCTCAAGTGAATTTATTTGAATTAATACGTCTGAAATAGGTGGGAGGTGTGGGGTCATAACTTCAAGTGACAGGCAGGAGCTAAATGTCTTGTGGATTTTCAGAAGCTGGCAACTATCAGGTACAACGACCCAAGGCCCACAAAATCCCTGGGGAGAAATCTACCTAGCAGGCCCTTTCTGGCACATATTCCTACCAGCGTCTAAAGATCTAGGATACTTTATGCGGCCTTGCAGTGATTACTATATTATTTAAATAATAAACCATCAAAGCCTTTTCCAATTAGCATTTTATAGTGAGCCTTTTTTTCCCTGGCAGTGAATCCATAAAGGATCATTAGCGTACAGCTGCTGTCCCACTACTGCCATAACTAGCTAGATGAAAATTTCCAGTCTGTTTTTGTGTGCATGGTCACTGCACCAAGACTGTGCTAAATAGGGCTTGTAATGAGTTATTCCTCCTTGCTGCCTTTGGTTCTCCGATGGTTTAAAGTTTACTTGATCTATTTGCACTATTTGAGTCTATTGATCCTAAGTACTTCTTTACTGTCTGCAAGAGCATGTTGTCTCTTCTCTCCCCCCCCCCCCCACTTACTGAACTTAGCCGGCGTGCTTTTGGATGTTCTTGTTATTTCCTCCTGCCTTTTTCACTCTTGCCATTCTCAGTATTATCTTCTAACCTGTTATCCTTTTTGTAATTCTACAGGGTTTTAAACTTTAAGCTGCAATTTAAATATATATATCTCTATATGCCTGTCCAAATGTTAAAGCAAGGAAAGTCTGGTCAAGGGAAAGTCTGGTCATTCTTCGGGTGGAAGGAACAGGTGGCAGTGGTTGACTCCAGCCTTGAGAAACACACCTTCAGCATGGATTTGCCAACACATTTCTTCAAATTTCAGCTCTGTACAACTTGTGACACACACAGTGCAATGCAACACATCAGCCATATATTGTAGCTCGCCAGCTAGAAGCAACCTACAGTTTCAGAAGCAGACAGCAAAAACAGAAGATTCATAGAAACTTAGAGTTGGAAGGGAGCCCAAGACTCATCTATTCCAACCCCCTGCAATGCAGGAATCTCAGCTAAAACATCCACGACAGATGGCCATCCAACTTCTGCTTAAAAATCTCCAATGAAGGAGAGTCCCAAGGGAGACTGTTCCACTGCCAAACAGCTCTTTCTGTCAGAAAGTTTTTCCAAATGTTTAGTTGGAATCTTCTTTCTTGTAACTTGAAACCATTGGTTCGAGTCCTACCCTCCAGAGCAGGAGAAAACAAGCATGTTCCCTCTTCCATGTGGCAGCCCTTAAGATATTTGAAGATCCATTGGCAAACTGTGTGTCCCATGTTTAGGGATCCATTCTGGCCTGGTGGTTCATACTCTTTACAGCCCTTGCATGTCATACATGATTCCAAATGAGAACCAAGCTCAGCTTTCCTCCACACATTTGAATGCTTCCAGACTGAGAATTTTCATGCAATAGCCACCCACTGTAAGCTATAACACTTCAACAGTTGCTCCCCTTTTCATTGCTTCATCAGTCTTCAGACACCTTTTTTACAGGACAAAGTGGAAACCTAGTGTGAAAGTCCTTGTTGTTGTTTAAAAGTGGTCAGAAACTACAGCCCAATCAGTGGTCTTCCCAAAACAGGAAGGCTGTGGGTTGCATCCAGTACTGTCACAAGTGATCAGGGCCCTGCGGGATTTGACATCTTTCCGCAGGGCCTGCAAGACGGAGCTGTTCCGCCAGGCCTTTGGTCGGGGTTCAGTCTGACTCCCCTTTCCCCCATAAGAACTTGTATGAAAGTGGTCTCCCAACTTGTTCTCACAGGCTCATATAAGATCAGCATAAACAGTTGGGCCTGGTGAGCATTTAAGGTCCCCAACCCTAATCTGCGGGTTGCCATCTGATTAGATTTTACTCTGATTCTGATTTGGTTCTAAAATAATAATAAGAATAAGAATACCGTATTTTTCGCCCTATAGGACACACTTTCCCCCTCCAGTAATTAAGGGGCAAGGTGTGTGCGTCCTATGGGGCGAATGCAGGCTTCGCTGAAGCCTGGAGAGCGAGAGGGGTCGGTGCGCACCGACCCCTCTCGCTCTCCAGGCTTCAGGCAGATATCCGCAAGCCTGGAGAGCCTGGCAGGAGTTCCCGCCGGGCTCCCTAGGCTTGCGGATATCAGCCTGCACCCCAAAGCTCGGGGCGCACTGAACAGCGCCCCCGGGCTTTGGGCAGATATCTGCAAGCCTGGAGAGGCCGGGGCGCAACCTCGCCATCGCTCCCGGACCCGTTCTGGGGGCTGGGGTGGGGGGAAGCTCGGGCTTCCCCCGCCCCCAGCCCCGTAAGCTCCGGGAGCGATGTCGAGGTTGAGCGCAACCTCGCCATCGCTCCCAGACCTGTTCTGGGGGCTGGGGTCAGGGAATTTTTTTTTCTTTATCCCCCCCCCCCCAAAAAAGGTAATAAGTGCACCCTATGGGCCGATGTGCCCTATAGGGCGAAAAATACGGTAATAATAATTTATACCCTGCCCATTGCGCTGGGTTTCCCCAGCCACTCTGGGCAACTTCCAACAAAATATTAAAATACAGTAGTCCATCAAACATTAAAAGCTTCCCTAAATAGGGCTGCCTTCAGATGTTTTCTAAAAGTCTGGTAGTTCTTGTTCTCTTTGACATCTGGTGGGAGGGCGTTCCACAGGGCAGGTGCCACTTGTTGTTGTTGTTTAGTCGTTTAGTCGTGTCCGACTCTTTGTGACCCCTTGGACCAGAGCACGCCAGGCACTCCTGTCTTCCACTGCCTCCCGCAGTTTGGTTAAACTCATGCTGGTAGCTTCAAGAACACTGTCCAACCATCTTGTCCTCCGTTGTCCCCTTCTCCTTGTGCCCTCCATCTTTCCCAACATCAGGGTCTTTTCCGGGGAGTCTTCTCTTCTCATGAGGTGGCCAAAGTCTTGGAGCCTCAGCTTCAGGATCTGTCCTTCCAGTGAGCACTCAGGGCTGATTTCCTTCAGAATTGATACGTTTGATCTTCTTGCAGTCCATGGGACTCTCAAGAGTCTCCTCCAGCACCATAATTCAAAAGCATCAATTCTTCGGTGATCAGCCTTCTTTATGGTCCAGCTCTCACTTCCACACATCACTACTGGGAAAACCATAGCTTTAACTATACGGACCTTTGTCGGCAAGGTGATTCTCTGTTTTTTAAGATGCTGTCTAAGTTTGTCATCGCTTTTCTCCCAAGAAGCAGGAATCTTTTAATTTTGTGACTGCTGTCACCATCTGCAGTGATCATGGAGCCCAAGAAAGAAAAATCTCTCACTGCCTCCATTTCTTCCCCTTCTATTTGCCAGGAGGTGATGGGACCAGTGGCCATGATCTTTGTTTTTTTGATGTTGAGCTTCAGACCATATTTTGCACTCTCATATTTTGTGCAGGTGCTACTAGGATGTAATTTAATTGATTGCTTGATTTTATCTTGATGTGTTATATAATTAATGTTTTATATAATTGATGTTAGCCGCTCTGAGCCCAGTTTTGGCTGGGGAGGGCGGGGTATAAATAAAAGTTATTACTACTACGACTACTACTACTACTACTATTACTCTTACTACTACTGTTCTGCTCACACAACAGTCTTCCACTCAGTCTACAGAACTTCCATTTTCCCTCTCCCTGACAACTTCCACCACACTCTCAGAATCTGCCCCAGTGGGTTGAGGGATTCTCCAGAGAGCAGATTGGAGTGGCAAGGGCGGGGGGGAAACACTATATTATATACAGCTCCCTGAAAGTCGCCTTCCCTAGCCCTCCTAGTCTTAAAGGAAGAGGAAGGAGATAATTCTGGATTGTCCTTAAGGGAGCAGTGCACAGTTATTTCACTGCACCCCTAAATGAAACATTCTGATTTCTAATGAAAAGTAGTGCAGACTACTTAAAAAAAAAAGTGCAGGGTTTTTGTGTGTTTGTGGCAGTGCCTACTAGTACAGATTATCAGCACCTTTTTTTTGTGCTGGCACCCATGGTACTTTATATATGACTATGGGCACCTCAACCTTCCCCCTCCCCCAAAAGCA